AGGCCCGCTCTCCATGGGGAGCGAGCCTAAGCTACAGTCTGGCCTACCTCCGTGGGAGGCAGCCAGTGGGCCCATCAGGGGACTGGGCCTGTGAGCCGCCAGCCCCGCCCCCCACTTGCCCCACCACTGCTGCCACCGGTGGCCTCACTCTGTAGGAGGTGACCAGGTGGGCTGATCAGGGGACAGCGAGCAGCGGCCCCGCCCCGAATTGCCCCGCTTCTGTTGCTGGTGGCCTCCCTCTGTGGGAGGCGACCCCAGTGGGCCAGTCTGGGGATGGCGCTGGTCAGCCCCACCTTGAATGCCTTGCTGCCAGTGGCCTTCCTCTATGGAAAGTGACCCCAGCGGGCTGATAGGGACACGTGCCTTGGCTGGCCTGGTGTCACCTGCTCACCAGTCCTGCCCCCCACTGACCCCCTGCCGACCTGTCGTTCTGCCTTTTCGGTCAATTTGCATATTATGCTTTTATTATATAGGATTCTAATGTCTATTTTTAATTCATCTATGTACATGGTTTGATGAGATGCTGTAGTGGTTCTCAAATTTTGGTCCCCAGATAAGCTTAGTATCACTAGGGAACTTGTTAGAAATGCAAAGTTTTGGTCCTGCCCAGAGCTGAATCAGAATCTGTGGGGATAGGACCCAGAAGTCTGTGTTCCAACAATCCCTACTTGCCCTGTGATGCACATTAAAGGTTGAGAACCACTGCTTAAGAGAAATAGCTGTTGGTGGTGTGTTTCTTTAAGAGAACACTTTGAGTAACTTCTTTAGTGGCAATATCTGCTGCTATTCACAACTATGCAGCTTTCATTTACCCTTTTAGAGTTCTCCACAGTGATTTAAGAGTTATCATTATCCTTGGTGTTAGTAGCCCATGAATCTGCTATTTCATGTGATGGGCATGTCCCAAGAAGTTTCCCTGGGATCCAGTATACATTAGAGAATGAATGTATTATGACCTCCTTAAATGTTCTTGGAATAAATTCCTTCATCCTTGCTGTTTTGAAGCGGGGGGAGCAGACAAGTTATCTATTTTAATCTTTGTTGGCAGGAATAAACTGTTGGAAACTGAGATGCTATTATTGTAGCCAATAGAAAGATGTTTGAGCCAAAAACCTGGATATATGGATTTAGTCTTGACTTTGTCATTATTAAAGAATCTTGGGCAAATGAAATAACTTCTTGACGTAAACCTTGGGGAACTATATTATTTGTCTCTGGTTAGTTTTTTTCCTGATAGCTTGGATTGCTAGTGTCGAGATGATTTTCTGTCCCATGAATGAGGTACCAAGGAAAGAACAAGATATGGGATACATTCTTTATTCGCCTATTATGAGAAATTCAACTGTAGCAAGAGATCCCTCAGAAACAGCTATAAACATTATATTTTGCATAATATATATATTTTAAATATGTTACATGCAATAAACATTTCAAAAAAGGTTTAAAATACAATAATATTTCCAAAACTTGCTAACATAGTATAATATCACAGAAGTTGTAGGAGATATTAAAAATCTGAAATAACAGGATTACTTCTACTATATTCTAAAATGTTTTATTTCTCTGGCTCTATTTTTGTTCATCAGTTAATGTTGTTCATTATATTCCACAAATGAGTGAGATCATGTGGTATTTTTCTCTCATTGACTGGCGTATTTCACTTAGCTTAATGCTCTCCAGTTCCATCCATGCTGTTACAAATGGTAGGAATTCCTTCTTTTTTTACTATTGCATAGTATTCCATT